TTCTAATCATGGAATCCAATGTGCAAGAGGGTGTTGGGGAGTTTAGAAGAATTTATGGCCTAAAATCTAACCCTGAGAAATGTGAATTATTCTGTGGGGGTCTTCCTATCGAATGGCAAAAATAGATGGCTTAGAGAGCAGACTATAAACTGGGTTCACTTCCAATCAGATATCTGGGATTTCCTCTTATTCCCAGCAAGCTATCTATAAAACCTTGCAAACCTCTATTAGATAAAATAACGGGTAGAATTCATAGTTGGAAAACAAAGTTCCTTAGCTATGCAGGGCGTTTACAGCTCGTGATCTCTGTGCTTGCTAGTTTGACACAGTTTTCGATGGCAGTTTTTATTCTGCCAAAAAGGGTTATTAAGGAGATTGAGAAACTTTGTAGTGATTTCTTATGGGGAGTCAGTGCTGTAAGGCTACTGCAGCTTGGCATTACTTAGCTCTTCCTAAGAAAGAAGGTGGATTGGGAATAAGGGACCTAGTAAATTGGAATTTTGCGTGTGCGATCAGACATGTATGGCTTATTCTTTTGTAGCAGGGATTTCTGTGGGTGGCGTGGCTGAGGGAATATAGACTTAAGAACCATGATTTTGGACTTTTCAATCCAAAACTGGTTCTTGGATTTGGTTAAAATTGTTGAAAAGCAGAGATAAAATTTGTCAGTAGATGTCTATGGCAAATGGGGATGTTCTGTGGAATGGGAAAATTATGAAGATGTATTGTATTAAGCTGGTACGGGAGTCTTTCAGGTCAAAGGAAGCACCTGTTTCTTGGTGCTCTCTAGTCTGGAAAGGTTCATCTCCCCCGAGGGACAAGTTTATTGTTTGGTTGGTTGTAAAGAACTATATCACTACCTGTGACAAGGTGGCAAGCTGGGGAGGACGAGGTCCTTTCTCATGTTTGTACTGTTCTTGTTCTTTGGAGACAAGAGCTCATCTCTTTGGTGGGTGTGTGGTGTATAAAGAACTGTTTGCAGGTTTGCTTGTTAAAGCTTTCCCTAGAACCCCTTCGGATGATTGGGACACAGAGTTGCAGTGGGCCTCAACCCATCTAAAAGGGAAGCAGTTGCGAAGTCAAGCTGCTAAGGCGATTTGGCGGGCAATGATTAGTACAATTTGGCGAGAAAGGTGTTCCCTGAAGCATGGAGGATCCAAGAAAAGCTTCCAGGAGATGATAGTTCGAATTAAAAAAAATGTTACAGTGTTTTTTCCTGCTGAACTTGTTTATAGTTTTTGGGCTGGTTAACCTTCTTTCTTGGTTCAACTTATAGGTTTCCTTTTGTAATGACATAGGAAGATCAGTTGGAATGCAGAACAGTGTTACAGTCACTTAGTTGTCAGGGTTGTTGCCAAAAGTTTTGGGGTTCCTTTTGATGATATAAAAGCTTACTAATTCATAAAAAGAACTTAAGATTTAACTATCACTCATTTTGATTAGTAGTTTTATCACATCAAGCAAACAATGCATGTAATGTTTGTGCAAAAAATTAAAAAAAATGATACATTATGAACAATATATGCATTGTAACTATCTCATCTAAAATATCACCAAAGCAAAATGACCCCAAGATTACGTACATACTAAAATACATGTTTTTTAAGAATATATTGATCAACAAGTTATACAAAATGTGTGAGTTTTACAAATTTTGAAACATGAATACTCAATATTAAAAAATAAAGGGTAATTTCTATTTTTATCCAAACCTTTTTTGAATTTTTTTTTATTAACCAAACCTATTGAAATACTAAGAATTAGCCAAATGTATACTTTCAGTTAGCAATTTTGTTAGTAATATTGACTTGGCAACATGATACTAACTTAGAAGAGACACATGAATATCAACATTCCAAATTTTAGTATTTTAACTATGAAAATGTTGCAAAATTATTAACAATAACGTAAAAATAGCTAATATTTGGATACATTACGAAAGATTTGGCTAATTAATAGTATTTTAATAGGTTTGGATAATTTCAAAAAATAACTCATAAAATCTTTTATGCATCGTTCAGCTTTGGCACACAAAACGACGGCTCAAGATATGGTGCATAACCTTAGGGTGCATAACTATGAGTAACAAAATCTGGATCCTTCTTTTAAGTGGTTGCATATCTAAGGGTGGAGAATTAAAAGAATTTATTTCCCCCAGTTTTCTTGATTGGATCATATTTTCTTCATTCTAACTCGGATTTAAATTTATTTTTCACAGATGGAACGAGTTTGTTGTGCTCTACAAAATGATATCCATTTTCAATATTTTTTGTGAAAAAAAAATTCATACCTCTCGTTACCAACTCCATATCATATGGTATCTCCTTCGTTTTTTAGTCGTTTTCGAAATTTTTTGCAAAGAAGGAACAATTTAATCATGATCTATTGGATTTCAAATTTTTCTGCATTGAAAAAATTTCATACATCTCGTTATCAACTCTATACCATACTATACCACCCTGATATGGGGTGGTATTTTTCGTACCTATGGTTTGCTGTTATTTAATACCAGTCGATACCATATGGTATAGATTGATAATAACTGACAAATTTTTTTTGTTCAAAAAAAATATCAAAGTTTATATCATTTTGAAAAATACAATTAATCTGATCTAACGGTGCAAAAAAATTAAATTTCGAGTTAAAATGAGTGACAAATCGTTCGTTAAAGATTAAGAGAAGGAAAATTAATGATTTTTCGAAAAAAAGAGAAAGAGGCGCTAATGTGACAGATTCTTATTAGTTTATGTATGAGATTATAGGACCACAAAGTTACTCACTTAGGGGTCGTTTGGAAGTTGTGATTGTTAGAGTTGTATTTGTTGAATACATGTATTGTGCACAATACAATGTTTGGGAGTGTCAAAGTGTTTTAGGTAGGTCTCACCAACAATCACAAAAAATGATGATTATACAATCTCAACTAAAAGTTGAGATTGTTGGTTTTAGATTTGTGTCAATTTTTTCTTTCCATTTATATCCCTAATAGTTTTTGTCTTATTCTAAAAGTTGAGGGTAAATATGACATTTTCCCATAAAAGGAACTTTATGTAAATTAATGCATAAAGTAGAATCTCAACAACCAAACAATGTATTGTTAAAATGTATCCATTGTATCAATACATGCATTTATATTATGGTGATTCATTACAATGCAACGATTTAACATTCGCAACTTTCAAACGACCCCTTAATTGTTAAAATGTATCCATTGTATCAATACATGCATTTATATTATAGTGATTCATTGCAACGATTTAACATTCGCACCTTTCAGTATCCATTGTATCAATACATGCATTTATATTATAGTGATTCATTGCAACGATTTAACATTCGCACCTTTCAAACGACCCGATCTACTCCGCAAAACAACTAAAAAAACAAAAAAGAATAAAATCAACCGTGGCCATCCACTCCATTTTGGCGCTCTCAATAAACTTCTTTTGGACTTTGCTACGGTGACATGCATGTCACGGTGACATGCACTTTTCGGTCGACCTCATATAGGATCCGGTCGACCTAATCAGTTGTTTCAGTGTAAAAACAGTTTCATGGTGCCTACTTTGGAGATTCATATCTTACAATTGGCTAGATGGAAATTGGAGATTAAAGGCTTGTTTTGAAGCTGAAGTGTCCCTCTACACATTAAAGTACTTGGGAGCTCAATAGAAAGTCCAGAAGACCATTTTTGAACCTGACCAAAAGGCTATGCCAAAACTGGGAAACTGCCTGAAAATGGCTAAGTCTGGCAACGTGTTTGTCAAGCCTACTTTGGAGCTCAATTTGAGAAGCATGGATGCGAGTCAAGTAAAGGGGCCTCTACCACGTTAAATTACGTAATTTTTTATACAAAGGCAAGGCATTGAATGAAAGATTGAATATCTTTAAGGCTCCAAACAAACGGCTCGAAGTTGCTACGAAGGCTGTTTTTCTGGCAGCTTGCTTGTGCTCGAAGTCTGCCAGAAAAACAGCCTTCGTAGCACCTTCGGCCCTTTTGTTTGAAGTCTTAAAGATATCCAATCTTTCATCCAATTCCTTGAATTTGTATAAAAACATACCTAATTTAACGTGGTAGAGGCTCCTGGACTCGACTCGCATTCATGCTTCTCGAATTGAGCTCAAAAATAGGCTTCACAAACACGTTTCCAGACTTAGTCATTTCTAGGCAGTTTCCCAGTTTTGGCATAGCCTTTTGATGAGGTTCAAAAATGGTCTTCTGAACTTCCTATCGAGCTCTCAATCACTTCAATATGTAGAGGGACACTCCAGCTTCAAAACAAGTCATTAGTCTTTAATTTTCATCTAGCCAATTGTATGATATGAATATCCAAAGTAGGCACCATGAACTGTTTTTACACTGAAACAACATATTAGGTCGACCGGATCCTATATGAGGTCGACCGAATCCTATATGAGGTCGACCGAATTCTAACTGAGGTCGACCGGAAAGTGCAAGTCACCATGACATGCATGTCACCGTAGGCACACCCACTTCTTTTACCTCATGTCTAGTCAGTAGTGTAGTCAGAATGGGCAGGATAATGGTTCTCTCTGGTTTCCAGGCAACTTTACCTTTACCTTTTGATCGTCTTTCTAGGTAATCCTGACAAAACCCCGCTAAACCCCAAACATGTCTTTTCATTTCCCTAACTTAATTAGTTTATTAATCAGGAAATAATTAGTGCACGAATCAAAAACGACAAACCAACAGAACGACAGAGCAAGCAAACCCCATCCTTCCTCTTCTTCTAATCCTCATTAATCATCACAAACATCACCACTCCTTAATCACAAACCAGAACCTCAAACGCCACACACATTGCATCCCAAGTAGAGAATTACAACTTCCCTTCAGAATTAGAACAAAGGGATGCCAGCTACCTACCTACTCGAATCTTCAGGAGGAAAAAAAAAAAAAAACAGAACAGAACAGAAAAACAGAACATTACAAATCTAGACTGCCGAGTAACATTTTCTTTTTTTTGGTCGGTTGTTGTTCAGTGGCAGAAGATGACTTTAAGCTCGCGTGGAGAAGAGCAGTCGTGCATGAGCGAGGGCGTGTCGTGCGCGTAAGTGAACGTGGCCGGGCAGGCGTGCTTGAAGAACTCGGAGAAGCTGGAGGCGCGACACGTGGCGGGGCTGTTGTAGTGGTTCCTGCAGCACAGCTCGTCCGTCCCAAACGCCTCGCACCCGCTCCTGCACCCCACCACCGCGCCGCCGCCGTGAGATCTAACCTTGAGCTTGTCCGGGCAGCTCTGGAGGAGGTCGGCCTTGCAGCCGACGACGGGGCAGTGGCCCCGGCCCTCGTGCGGGGTGACGGTGAGGGGGACGTTGAAGCCGTCGACGAGGGAGACGCCGTAGGAGGAGAGGTCGCTGTGGCCGTGGTGGAGGGTGAGCTGGACCAAGGTGGCCGGGGTGGCACCGCCGAGGCCGTCGCACTGGAGGCGGCCGCCGCAGTCGCCGGTGGCGCAGCGGAAGGTGTTGCCGTTGTGGGTGCAGTGGGTGCGGGCCCAGATCCGGCCCGCCCAGTGTTGGGCCGGGGCGGGGAAGGAGCGGTGGGTGAGGGTGGTGAGGGGGAAGCCGCCCTTTTCGAGGATGGGGAAGCCGGCGGAGGGCTGGATGGCTGGGTAGACGGTGAAGGGGCAGTTGTTGACCATGGTCAGAGTGAGGGCCGGCGGCTGGGTGGATTGAGTGGGAGGTGAGAGAAGGAGGAGGATGAGGAGGAGGGGGACGGCGGCGTAGAGGAAGGAGGGTTGAGGAGCCATTTTTTTGGGGTTGGTGGAAGCTGAAGGGTGGTGGAGGTAAAAGGGTTGAGGAGGGTGGTGTTTATATAATGGTGGGAGGAGTGGGTTGATCATTTGGGGGGGGTTTTTTACAGTGGGAGGGTGAATGGACGGTAATGCCCTGGGTGGGGAAGGAAAGGTCTGAGTTTGGTATTTTTTTTTATATCCAAGATAACAACAAATATATAAAACTGATAATAATAAAGAACGGTAGCCCGTATGAAACCGGACTCTCGATAAAAGAGTTTTTTTTGCCACGAGGTGGGTAGTTCTATGAAAGCTCCGAGGAGTAAAGACACGAAACTGACATAGGGAGTCGAGAAGAGAGAAAGAACTTCCCTTAAAATATCTCAGACTTTAGAATGGAAAGACTTCCTCGATGTAGCATCTAGCATCCTGATGACCGGTTGAGAATATCCTCGAGAGGTAACAACCAAACATTATGAGTAAGACCCTTTCTCATAGTAACAGCATAATAAATTTTACCAAAAGAAAATGAGACAGAGTGTAAAATTTGCACATTCGTGAAGATTCTTTGTGGCCCAATCAAACCGAATGAATATACTTTTGTTAGGACAGGTTATATCTAACCTAAAAAGGCATCCACTGGGTTTGGTACTTTGGTTATAGGGTTTGCAAGGGGGTATTATGGGGCATTTCGTGGTGTTTTGGAGCGAACGGCTTTTGTGGCCGTATGATTTTACTTACCATTATTACTCCGTTTGGTGTCGCTGCCCATCTTTTATGACATTTCAGGGGTCGTTTGTTTGTATAGATTTTGAAAAGTGAAGGACTTTATGTAATTTTTTATTTGGAAAGTGAGGAATTAATTCATCTGAAGAAATTGCCGAGTGTAAAATTTGTTGTTTGGATGTCGGATTTACATTTTATATGAATTTTACAATTGAATATGAGGATGTAGGGAAAATGGTATAAACAGTGAAGAGTTCAACTATGCTCAATTTCCACATCTAAAATGACTCCTAGGGTGTAAGTTTGACCTGGAAGACCTACTGATCCATTCCGATATGGCCCGTCTTTGAGGGTCGAGATAGATCAGTTTGTCTATATGATCAAATTAGGGATGGGTCATTTGTTGATCCTGTAAGAGTCGGGATGGGTAGGGACAACTTAGAGAGGGGTCACTTTTTGATCCTGTGATCTTTAGCAATAACAAATATCTCATACCACATTTGACCTTTTTGTAAAGTTTTGAAAGTTTAGATACTAAATTTTGGGCACTAAAACATAATTTGTAAAAAAACATGTATGTTGATTAAGGTTGACCCACTGACCCGACTCGTCCCAACCATTTAGGATCAGACAGGGACGGGACGAGTCAAATAGGCTCAGAAACAGGTCAGAGACGGGTGGGGCATTTACATCCCTACCTTAAATGTAATGATCTTTCCAATAAAATTAATACTTTACAACTTATTCAAGTTATGTAAAAGTATCTGTTGTATACTTGTATAGCAGTATGCAATGTGTTTGATCTATTATAAATCAATATAAGATTCTTTGAAAAAAATTAGGTAAAAAAAGTAAGATACGTTTTTGTGTTGAGTTGTTCAATTTTATTAAGCTAAAAAAAACACGAAATATAGGCATTAAACATAATTTATAATATTTTCAGAATATGTAATTTGTATTAGGTGTATATTTTTTATTTTTTAATAAATTTTGGAGAAGAACACCTCTACATAATAATTCTAGATCCGCCACATCACAAATGAGAAGCAACATTTTTTTTTCTTTTTGTGCGGTAAAACCAATGTTCAAGAAGACGCTAGGTGTTATCTAGGCGAGGAGGCACCGCCCAGCGCCCAGGCCGATTAATCATTGCCTAGGCGAGATTAAACGTTGCAAAAAAATACAATAGATAAGCCATATTCCACAAAACCCAAGTTGTCATATCATTATTCATCCATTCATATTCACATACAACCCTTTTCCACAATCCCAGACATCCCAAATCGCCAACAATGAGGAGGGATCTCATTGCTGGTCGATGAGGGGGAGCGGCTGGTCGAATGGAAATGGGAAATAGAATAAGGTTTAGGATTTTCAAAAAAAGGCTACACTTTCCCCCTTTATTAGTTGTTATGGGCGTTGCCCACCAGAATGAAAACGCGCCTCCGAGTGCCTAGGTACCTAGATCAATCGCCTAGGGCTAGATGGAACGATTTCGTCCTGCCCAGCTATTAATCGCGTCTTCTTGATCACTGGATAAAACTGTAAAAGCAACATATTTCTCATATCAGCAAAACTCTTTTTTTGGGCACTACAAAAAATAAGAGATTTAGGGACTAACATAGGGAATGGTTTTTTATATCGTCTCCGGAAACAGGTTTATAAGTGTTATTAGGGACAAGTGAACTAAATTGTCTCCATAGGATAAGTAATGCAGTTTTTTTATTTTTTTAATTTAGTTTAGCTGTCCCCTAAAAGAATAAGACTGGCGGAATATTAAATCGAATTGAATTTTCTTAAGCCGACGGATTAGCAGGGATGTTTTTGGTCCCCAAAATAGAATGCGTTAAAAGGTTGGGTTGATATTAGTAGATTTTTTGTCTCTTAAACTTTGCTTTGATTATTAGGGGAGTTTTAAGCTTTTAATTTATTCATTTTCCTTGCCTGGTAGTTACGCGTTAGGATTAACATGGATTTTTTTCTTTTCCTTTTCAATCTTGAACTAATCCTATTTTCCTTTTCCTATTTTGTTTCTTTTTTTTTTATATTGGAACTTGCAAATGATCAATTCCTTCCTTCTAATTTTGAAATAGTAGTTTCGTTACCATGTTTATTAGTTTCTTTGTCATATTTGGATTGTTATGAGCATTTCTATAATGCTTTACAGTAGTGGTGATTAGTGATGGCAATGGGATGGGGGCGGGGCGGGGTGGGTACCTCAATATCCATGCCCCGCCCCACTCTAATATGGGTTGGGCGGGTAAAACCCGGGCGGGTATGGGATGTGGCGGGTCGACTCACTCTCACATGTTATTTCAAATATACACACGCAAATTTTACTTTTACGATAAAACGAAGGGGAAAATACTTTATGAATGAAAAATAGTGATAATAGAATGAGTAATTGAGTCTAACCAGTTGAAAGGATCGACTCCAATTAGTTGAAGAGAAGTCAAAATAGGAGAAATATGTATAGATATTGTAAGAAATCAAGGTAGAATGAGCCGGGACGGGGCAGGACGGGTCGGAAGCAGACACCCATGCCCCGCCCCATGCTAGTGCGGGTCGGGTACTACCCGCCCCGTTGCGGGTCAGGTCGGATAATACCCGTGGGGCGGGTTCAAATTGCCATCACTACTGGTGATTCGAGATACAAATTAAAGTTGAATAATAACCTTAAATGTACAAGTTTAGGTTGTACTTTAAGAAAATTTGTACTTTTATATTATGTTACAACTTCAATTTGTGGCCTAACATAAAGGTACTAATTTAGTTTGTACCATAAAAGAATTTATACAAAATAGTATAAGTACAACCTGAAGCTGTACCACAACATTAAATGTACAACTTCAATTTGTATCGTAAAGGCAAAAAACTAAAGCATCAATATTTTAAGATATTGTAAAATTCCTCATTTATAAATATGTTAGTTTGATTTTGCTAAACATCATAATTCAACTATACAAAACAATTTTGATACCAGGAGGGAGATGCTCAACAAAAAGAAGAGATACCGTAAGACAATCAAGATTCATTATGCTCTTCCAAATGACATTCGTTATGATATATTTAAAAAAATTAGACTTTCATTGCTAGTTCATATCATGTGGTACTTCTTGGTATGTAAATACGATTGTACTATATGGTATAAAAGTTTACCATGGAGTTATGAATAATGTCGTATAGTAGAATGGTTGCGTACATGATAGTAGAAAAAAACATCTAAAAAAACATAACCATTGTTTCAAATTCATAAAGCATCAAATCCTCAATAAATCGTGAACGGCGACGACGATGATGTACGAATGATGGGATTCTCGGGCGACGGCGGCGATGATTCTTCTCGGTGCGCGATCAACAGCTTCTCGACGACGATGATTCCTCTCGGGCTCCGCAACCAGGCCCTTCCTTCCGAACGCGTTTCCGAGCGATCAACAGCTCGCCGGATGATTCCTCTCGGTGACATCCTCGCCGACGATGAGCATCCTTCCAGGGTGAACGGCAGCGGTAGGGCGGCTGTCGGCTGAAGCTATTAATTAGGGTTACAAATTTAGTTAGAGATTGGGGATTTTTTAAGGGCAAAATCGTGAACTTTTTTAAATTAGGGCGATAAATTTAAAAAGTTAGGACGTTAAAGCCAAAATTTTGGCGGCACTTTCTAGCTAAAATTTCAAACACAAATAAATCAGATTCCATTTTCACCGTAATGCTGCTTCCATCTATTGGCGGCACTGTCTTTGGCTTTGGCTGCGAAATTCAATTTCCCCGTTGATTTTCTTTCCTTAAGATAGACACAAATCCTTTCCCTCCTTGCATCTCTGTTTCCCTCCTATTCCAACTTTTTAGCCCTATATTTGACTTTGGCGGCGAAAATCTTGCCTCACAGAATCAATATAGTCAAGAACTTTGTTCCTTCAATTGATTCCGTAGATAGTTGTTGAGTTTTGTGATTGTTCTCTGCCTCCGTCCGGTAGGTTTCAGTTCACGTTCCGATTCGACGATTCAACTCGCTTCTCAATCTTGATACTTGCATATTTATTGATTCTTCTTGTTTTGTTATCGTTCATGATCATTGGGACAGAGTGTTGGTGGATCTGTCTTTTAGGGTTTATCATTCTTAGATGTTTATATGCTAACTGTTTGGATTGAGAAAAAAAGTTATTCAAGCTGCATCTGTGTTTCTCTTTTCCGACTTGATGTCCCCTGTTTGAGTTCTTAGAGTAGACGACGTTGCAACATATATATGTATTTAGTCCTCTCTTTTCTTTCTCATTATAACAGTGATTATG